TCCAGCTTTTCATCAGCTCTCTAGGGGCAGTTCCCTTGGCTGCAGAAAGCAAGCTCAGCTCTGCTTTGTGCAGGAGTTCAGACACCACGAGGAAACAAAGAGCCTACAAGGAAACAGGGGGTTGTATCTGCAGCGGCTGAAGCTTGCACCAGAAATGTTACACCATTTAACTGAAACAGAATTAATTGATGAGTTTATATAGAAAGAGGTAGCTTTACCCTAGGAGCTAAATGCCTAAAGGGCTTATTTTTCTTCTCTCTCTCTTTCAGATCTGTAGAAATACAAAGCAGTTGTGGGTTTCCAGAACAGCAACCTGAAAAACTCAGTTTTTGCATCTAAAATTCTGCTTCACGTGAGACACTCGGCGTGTTCGGCTGTTGCTTCAAGATAAACAAACAGGCAAACAGACAGACAGACAGAAACCCCTCGCAAAGCACCTTCTAGCCCAGGTTCTTGGCTGCACGAGCTGGAGCCCCAAGCGGGAGCTGCGCTGACACTCGAGAGGCCTCTGGCTGGAGGCAAGAGGAGCTGCACTTGGGCCCTCGGCCGGGGGTGCCCAGGGGTGACCCCAGCCCCGACAGCAGAGGTGGGAGGTTGAGCTCTGGGTGTGACTATGCAATGAGGAATGACACAAGCCCGATGAGGCTGGATGGCCACGGCCAGGACAGGACACGGGGACACACAGGAAGGCCACCCTGAGGCGGGGGTGGCAGACAAGGTCACCCTGGTGGGCAGGAGCTCGGCCCGGGGCCCCGCTGTGCCTCCCGGGGTGGCCAAACAGAGACCCACACCTCTGGTTGTCAGCGACAGCTTTATTGTGCTCAGGACGTCACAGGCCGGAGCCGCTCGGGCGCGGCAGCAGCTCTGGCGGGGCTGCTGGCACGTTCAGACACCGAGATGCCCGGGCACTGTCCCGCAGCCCGGCTGAGCCAAGGTTGCTGTGCTGGGACCCCGGCTCTGCACGGATCCCTCGTGTGAGCCACGGAGGTGGCTGCGGGGCCAGCAGGGCCCTGCTGCCCCTGCCCCCAAGAGCCCCCATCCCAGGGGCAGGACCCTCCCCGAGCTGCCGGGATCAACGTCACCTACGAGCCCCTCGGCTCTGACCTGACGGTCCCTTTCTCAGTGTTCCTTGGCCTCAGTCCCTCCCGGCAAACGTCCTCCTGTGGAAGCCCCTCTGGAGGAGGCACAGCCAGAGTCAGGAAGGGGGTTGTGCCTTCTGCCCCCGGGTGCCCAGCCCGGCCCTCGCACCCCTCGGCAGGAGAACCACCCAGGGCAGGGACCTGCTCCCACACAGCACTGCTGGACGTCCAGAAGGTTCAGAAGGGGCTCCCGGCACCCCGGGCTGGTGGGAGGTGTCCCCGGCCACAGCAGGGGGTGGCACTGGATGGGCTGTAAAGCCCCTTCCCACCCAGCCAGCCTGGGATTCCATGATAACGTGCTCAGGAGAAACCTCGGCAGTGAAACCTGCCCCTGCCTGTGTCGGCAGCTCCTGCAGCTCCTGCAAAGGCACTGGCAGCTCCAGGATGGCTCCTGCAAGGGCACCTCCTTGTGCACAGGTTCTGTGGAGCTTCAGAACACCTCTGGCTCTAGGTAAGAGCTTCATTTTGGCTCTCAGGCCTTTCTGGGGCAGAGCTCAATGTAGGAACAACAGAAAAAAGCTGCAGCACCAGCCAGGCTGCAGCCCTTGGTGCTCCAGACACCCCCTGGAGGGGCTCAGACCAGTGCTGGGGCTTTGTGGAGCCTGGCCAGAGGGCAGCAGGACCCTCAGCCCTTGGCCAGAGGGCAGCAGGACCCTCAGCCCTTGGCCAGAGGGGAGCAGGACCCTCAGCCCTTGGCCAGAGGGGAGCAGGACCCTCAGCCCTTGGCCAGAGGGCAGCAGGACCCTCAGCCCCCAGGGGATGCTCTGGGGCTGGCACTGTCCCACCCCCTCAGCAGCACTGCTGCACTTGGGGTGGCTGCTGTGGGAGGCTTGGGTGATACTGTCCTTCTCAGGACAGGCCTAGGGGCTGGGAAATGTGCTCTGAAACGGGTCATCTCAGCTTATCTAACTGCCCTTTCCATGATTTTCTGAATTCCCAGCGCTCTCACAGAAGAGAGGGATCTTCACAATGGAAGAGAGTGGCTGACATCACTACACAGTCTATTTCCAGCCGAGTTCCTGGGAAATATTTCAAGTCTTTGACATCAACGGGGAGCATAAAAATTTCAGAGATGAAAGGCCACGGCTTTCAGAAAAGGGAATGGGAACAGGGAGCTCTGCAGGACAGCTGGAAGGGGCAAGCACTGGGTGGCAGGGGGAATGGGGAGAGGGGCTGCACCCCCCGTGCAGGAGGAGGGGGTCTGCACAGAAGGTGCCACCACAGGGTGGGAGGGTCTGCTGCTCCTGGGAGCAACGGGGCCACGGGGATCCAGGGGAAGAAGCAGGAGAAGACAGGAGGGGCTGCAGAGGCAGAGAATGGAGAAGGGGTTGGATGAGGAACAGCAGATCAGCTCTGCCCGGGGATCTGGACGCAGGGCTAGGGGAGCAGGGGACAGGCAGCAGGGGCTCCATGTGGAGTCACAAGGTGCTTTTCATGCTGGCTCTGGGTGACCAAGGGGGGATGAAGAGACAGCCCAGTGGGCACCCCCAGCCCCAGCTGAGCTGGGGACAGGTGGTGCCACCCCTGGCTGCCATCAGAGCTGGTAATGGCCAAGTTCTCCTGTGTCACTGAAGCATTTTGGGGCCACGAGGTGAGCCTGATCTCAGAAGGGTCCCCAGGTGCAATCAAACCAAGCACATTCAGCACAGGACCCCATGGGTCCCAGCTGAGCAGGGCAGGAACGAGGGACCAGGGAATACAGGCTGAGGGAAGAATGGCTGTCCTGAGGAGAAGGACTTGGGGGTGGTAGTTGATGAGAAGCTCAACATGAGCCCCCAGTGAGCACTGGAGCCCAGAGGCCAACCCATCCTGGGCTGCATTAGAAGAAGTGTGGCCAGCAGGACCAGGGAGGTGATTTTGCCCCTCTACTCAGCTCTGGTGAGACCCCACCTGGAGAACTGTGTACAGTTCTGGTGCCCTCAGCACAAGAAAGATAAAGACCTGTCAGAGAGGGTCCAGAGAAGGGCCAAGATGATCCAAGGCCTGGAGCAGCTCTGCTCTGGAGCCAGGCTGGGAGAGTTGGGGTGTTGAGCCTGGAGAAGAGAAGGCTCCAGGGAGACCTGAGAGCAGCTTCCAGTGCCTGAAGGGGCTCCAGGAAAGCTGGGGAGGGGCTTTTCATCGAAGAACATAGTGAGAGGACAAGGGGTGATGGTTTTAAACTGAGAGAGGGGAGATTTAGGTGAGATATTAGGAAGAAATTCTTTAAGGGTGGTGAGGAACTGGGATGGGTTACCCAGGGGGGTTGCTGATGCCCCATCCCTGGAGGTTTTTAAGGCCAGGTTGGATGAGGTTTTGTGCAGCCTGGGCTGGTGGTTCCCTGCTCTTGGAAGGGGGTGGAACTTGGTGATCTTTGAGGTCCCTTCCAACCTTCATGATTCTATGATTCTATGAATGGCCATAATGTTCCTCTGGGGCTAAGAGCAGAGACACACCAGCGTGGCAGGGTGAGGGCTGCAGATGTTATTCCACAAGGTGGTGGTAACTACAAGTTTGGTCCCTGCTGGGGGGATCAGGCGTGCAGCCAGGCTGGAAGTGCTGGCACGTGAGCCAGCAAGGATGGAGCTGCAGCAGCACATCCTGTGGCTGTGCTGGGCAGGACACCGGGTCCCCCACACCACAGCCTGAAACCTGTGCTACCACCACGTGGACTTGGAACCCATCACTGTCATGACACGGTTAGAAAAACCCTTCCCAAAGCCTC